GCACGAGCTTTTCGACCGTCCCAAACCCGAAGCCTGTAATCCGAAGCTGCCCACCGAGTTGTTCAACCACATCATGATGACCGTACTCGTGTCGAATTTTTAGGACCGGTTGCTTCACGAATCTTTGTCATAGCTGAGCTAGCATGAGCACAAAACTCCATAGTGCCGGGTCCAAGTCCCCCAAACCCAGACCCTGAACCCTAAACCTAGAGAAAAAAGGCTCATAGCGGACCCGAAATCCCTGTTCTCATCATGGAGGCTGCTAAACCCCTAATCTACACTAAGCCCTCAACCCTATGTTGGACTGTAAGGTACTTTGCATCCTCGGGGAGTGCGAAGACCCAGATGAGCTGGCTCGGAAAATGCTCCCCGTCCCAGGGTTCAGGCCTTTGGACTTATGGTTTGCTGTTGGACGGTTTTAGGGTTCAGGGTTTAGTTTGGGGTTTGGGATTCAGGGGTCCCGGTTTGTCTTACCACGTAGGTAAGAAGCCGTTTCTTGCCGGACTAGCTCAACCACGAAGTCTTCTACTTAAGTGTAGCTCCACTAAACCCTGAACCCGAACCCCGACTTAGTTGAATCCCATGATCCTCTGAGTTGAAAGCCCCGAATGCATTTGGGAAGAGCCGAGATGGCCCGGGACGAAGTAGGAGACCCAAAACCCCAAAACCCCAAAACCCTAAACCCTAAACCAAGCATCTCCCGCAAGAGACCCGGCTCCCGAACCGTTTCAGTTCGAGAGTTGCATCACCAGCGTTAATGCTACCACCGTCGCTGCCCTTGTTTTCATACTGATCAGTACTTCTACCTCTGCCATTACTACTTTTATCCTTGTTGTCACAATTTCCGTTCAAGCTGTAGCAATGATGCCCTGTTCGACAGTCTTACTGACTGTTTTTGTTTCGTTGTCATGCAGTGCCAATACTTCCACTCACTCAAGAATGTAATGCTCCATTGGTGGTGCATTCTGTGGAGTCTGTGCACGAGCTTGTGTGCACCCACGAGATGACTGGCAGTAGCTGTGCATATGTCCAGTTGTCAGTTTGTAAATTCTTCTCGTGTGTTTTCTTACTCATCCTCTGTGCTGTGTTGCTGCCATTGTTTGCCGCTGCTGCTGCTTCTGCTGCTGCTGTTGTTCCTGCGGTTGTAGCTGTGGTGGCCCTCCCTTTGGCGATAAACCCCGAAACCCGAAACCCTAAACCCCGAAATCCGGAACACCAGAAAGCGTCAAATATCCTACAGCTCAAATCCCAAAGTACCCGCGCACCACCTTTTGGGACTTCTTGGAAACTCGAATGACAGCACACCGAGGTTCAGGGCCAAGACAGAGTGGATTGTGGGCTCCATGAGCCGCAGAGACGGTGTAGAAGGAGTAAGACTATTCCCTGATCCTCCCCCCCTCTCCCTGTCTCTCTCTCTCTCTCTCTCTCTCGCTCTCTCTCTCTCTCTCTCTGTATATATATATATATAGATGTACACAAACAGGACTATATATTATCAGTATATGTGTACTTGTATGTATATGTGTATATATATATATATGTGTACACATGTGAGTGTTGTATTCACATATAGCTACCCATCTCTCCCTTATATATGAGTTCAGTATATAAGTGAAAAAGCAGAGTATCAACACCTTGTTCCGATCACGAAGGCGTGAGGGCTTCTCAACCCTTGTACACATTTTGGGAGTTTGGGCTCGGCCGCGAAGGTTGAAGGCTTACAGTTCCGTTGTTTTTCAGGTTTAGGTTCTCAGGAGAGCATCTATTGAAAGGTTTTTTTTGAAATTAAGGGTCCCTATGCAAGGGTCTCAGACAACGCTGCAAGCAAGATCCAGGCAGACTCGCATGTTTACTTGTTTGTTTTCATTCATCTCGGTGTTTTTTGCCGCCGTATCTATTTGCGAGGCATCTGCACATTGATGCACAGCTCACACTCTGCATTTGACACACACACACATAGAATTATGAACATCTGCGAATGTATAATGTATACATGGTGCGATAAGCAACATCAACTTAGGAGGACGATAACTTTGGACCTGAGGAACAGCAGACAAGTTATTGCATCTGAAGAAGCGCTTGCATGAATAACGGGGCATTCAACTGCGCATGCGTTCATGTGATACATGCATGTATGCACGCAAACATACATACATATATGCGCACACGGAGTGCGTGCATTAGTTGAAGTATTGCCCAGCACTATCAGCCATTCCAGTCCTAAATCCCTGAAACCCTCAAGCCCGAGACCCCACAGCCCTAAACACCGTAATTCCCTAAACCCTAGAGGCTTCACGGCAAGACTGCAAAACCTGATCTAAACGGTGTCAGCTCTATGCCTTGCACCCTGCGGCGCTAAATCCTGCGATTTCAGGCCTGGGCGCCTACGAGATGACGCGAGGTGAGGGTTTAGGGCTTGGGGCCTGGAGTCAGAAGTCAGTGTAACAGGTTTGGGGTTTAGGGCTTAGTAATCACACGATACTGAGTCGGACTGGGGTTGATAGGACTCAGTACTTAGTGTCCAAAACTCAATAGTGTGCTTACGGTCTAGGGCTCAATGAAGGCATGGTGCAACGAGTCAAGAACTGGTTGAGTATGTAGGAGTCGATGGTGCGGGCTCTAGGATCAGTCGAAGTTGAATGTGTTTTTGCGGGCATTCTGCGAGTTTTGAGGTCTTTTTTTTCTCCAACCCCTTCACCCCGACCCAAAAATAGCAACAACAACCACACTCCTGTAGTTGCCCCTTGTTCGAGAGAAGATGTGAGCTAGGCCAAGCGCGCAGCAGCCAGCAGCTATATGCCAGCACGCAACACAAATAGGAAGAACAAGGTGCCCCATACGAGTGTTTTGAGACTTGGCCGAGACGAAGCACTAAGCTCAGTAGCTCTTCCATCGCGGTTGTGTGGAGGGTCCGAGTCAGTTTTCATCTCATAAACAATTTTGAGGCCCCAGAGAAACGTAGGATGGAATGTGTGAGTTTTCAAGAGAATGCTTGCAGACAGTAGAAACTGTAAACATCGTGTGTACCCTTCTACCCGTATCTGTAACATGCACAGCTTGGACCTGATGGCCAGTCTACCAGCTTGTGGTCGAACCTAAGCTTACACTCAAAGCCGCGACTGCCTAAACCGAAACCCGCCAAATCTACGCGGCGGCGATTTGGTACCCTTATCGCTAGCCGCTAAACCCTACATCAGTGATTAAGCCTAAGCCGTTTCGAAGCCAGCAGTGCAGGCGACCAGAAAGACTTCACTGCCAAAGGCTGGAAGGCATCACTGGGCTTCCGACTTCCTTAGGGGCTGTAGGGTTTAGGGTTTTTGGACTTTTATACAGGGCCTTGTCGAGTCTTCGCATTAACATCTGTTTCGGGAGGCGGCCCTAAGACTACCAAAACCCATAAGCCGAGGAGTAGACCTACGACTTTAGGAAGAGTGCAGCGAGGCCTTGTACTGTACGGCAAAACTCTAAACCCTGAGCCTGCGTTGGGGTGTGGGGTTTAAGGGTTTCAGGTGCAGCCAAGCCAACCATGGCAATAATCATGAATCAGCTGCGGTTTCTTTTGGATAGGTAGTATTTCATGAGTTTGAGCTTAAGTATGTAGTATGACTAGTAGTATGAGTACTCGAGCTGTTGCTACCAGTGGCCGTGTTTGCACAAGTTCAGCATGCCTCAAATCGTTACTATCATATTGGTGGTGCTCATGGCAGCAGTAGCATTGGGGCATTGTCGGCCCTTGCCCACTGTAGTCAAACAGCGAAACTACACCGGATCATAGCAATAGAGCAGAGTCTGTATAATTCATGAACAAGACGAGATCATCGTCAAGGTTGGCTTCAGTCTTTGTCGCCACATCACGGTTATATTGAATCCGACCGAAACGCTCCCAGTTGGTAGTCTGAACGCCGAGCTTGAAAAAGTCATGCATCAACCTTGTACCGTGAAGCTGCTGTAAGAAGCAAACCGTAAGCCTGCAAAGGCCATGCCAGATACTGCAAACAGCTCCAAAGCCTTGGCGCAAGATCCAAGGTACGGCATTAACTTTTAAATCCGACATGCGGCACATAATCCGCCGGATCCCTGAACCCCAAACCGTATCTCAGACTGATGAGGTGGGCATCGCAGTGCTGGAGGTCACCGACACGGAACCGGTGCTGAAGGTGGCAGAGGAGCAGCGTGGGTCCGAAGCTCCTTCGAGAACCAAGAGAACCTACCCTAAACCCTAAACCCTAAAAGCACTAAAAGCCGCTAAAAGCCCTAAACCTAGAACCTAGTGTAAGCCTGGACAAGGCAGGCTCTCGACTCTGGCAGCCGGAGAAAGGGAGTCGATACACTTAAAAAAGTAAACCTAAACCCTGGGGCTGTGGCTTCGGGTTTTTAGGGTGTAGGTGCTGATGGAAAGAACCATGTGCAGCTTCTGCAGCACCAGCATGTGAGGCCATGGGAAGCAGCGAATTGCGATCTTTTATGCGGCGCACGACACATGTAGTGCTGTGTCTGCTGTATCTATGCATGTGTTGAGTTTGGCAGGCTAGGGCGCACATGAATCATCCTGAGCTTGTAATGGGCTGCCATTTTGGTTCAAGTGTGATCCAAAACGGCAGTCCGTCTGTCTTTTGGAGGCGGGGG